TAGGGGCGAAGGGATCAACGGAAAACGAAATAGTTCACCTTGTGAAACAGATCGCAACACACGGAGGGTTGCATTGTAAAAAATATGACCTGAAAAATCTCTTTGAAAGGATCCAGATGCCTAGTACTTTACAGCAGCAATTATTTAACACAGGTGCATTGGGAAGGCCTACGGTGCCCAGGTCCAATGAGATTCAGCGGAGCTCAAGTGAACATGAAAAAGTTACTGCAACTCATAAAAGTTAACTACAATTCGCCATATATCATCCTAAGTTCCGAACACTGTCGTGGCTTGGGACATGAGCCGGCCCGAGGAAAGCTACAATAAACTCGCTGATTCCAGCACAGCGGAAACCCCTCCTGCCAAGTGCACAAGCTCAGAGTGTCCTCCAGCTCCTGTAAAGGCAAACCCACAAAATGCCACGCAATGAGCTCAAGGACAATCACTAACTTGGAATCAGGCTCGCCAACTGCAAAAGGGCTTGAAGAAATTGTCGCAAATATTGTTGATAATTGAGTTGCGCAAACTGTACACGAAATCCATAAGAAGCTGGATGTCAAAGTATATGCCGACGATGTGCTGATATTGCTGGGAAGTTTCCACAGTCCTGGGAACAACAACAAGGACTGGATTGGTGTGTTTGTGAATACCAACCAACTGGTTCAATTTTGTAAAGCAGTCGGCGGTGCCCTGCTGGTTTTGATCCACGTCAATCTGTTCGCCTATGGCCCAATTTCGACAGTCAGAATTTGGAGGCTTATTCAAAGAGTGTGTAGATTGGCTTGCTCTGCATTGTGTTCATTAATGCGTGGAGAGTCACCACAGCTGGCCAATTTGGCTCAAGAGTTGGCCCGAGCAAAGGACTAATTATGTTTCATTTGGAATTCTGGGCGTGTAATGCACTGCCAGATAAGGCAGGAGAGTGTGGTGCACCTGCCGCGTCACAGCCCGTGACAAGTGTGATTGCTGGCTCATTCCGCAGTCCCTATCATTTCCAGTGGACTTGAGTTTTCTGCAGCTCAATTGGTAGTAGGTTGTTGTTTGTCTTTAGGATCTCTTTGTCTGGGGATCTGTGTCGGACACATCTTTCAACTCGCTCACACGTGGCCGTGACTCGCCAGCCATATTTGGACGTCACACGTAATGGCCATCAAACGAATGTCATACACCAGAGCCAGGGCGTAGCCATCAGTTTCCTGTCTTTCCTAAATAACGCATTGTCAATGGTTGGTTACATCATAACCTACTATATTTTGTAATTCAGCTCCTAAGTTGGTGGTTTTATTCTGTAATTAAGAAGTGGGTTACAGCGCATTGATTCTCTTCGGCTCATGACGGGGTAAGAGTTTTTATGTTTGTGAGGGCGAGGGAGCAGTCAATGTGCAGTATGTGATATATGGCTTTTTATGATGGGAAGTAAATATGGTGAATATACTGTTATATAAAAATATGTTCACCATATATGGTGAAAACTTTATTGCAGTAATTGCTATTTAGCTGGTACGATCGTCCTTTAATGCATCCAGTTATGGCTTTGCTTCCTGTGCCTGGCAGCAACCGTGTGCGAGCATGCGCGAAAGGTTCAGTTGCCCTGATAATGTTGGTATTTGCAGAAAGAGTTTCAATCGGCTGTGCTTTCACAGATTGCGTGAGTCTGTGAACTCCGAAGCGCAGCAAATTGGTGGCGAGCTGGATTGCAGCAATGTCTTGGCAGCTCATTGGACACAAAATTTTGGGTCGCCCTTAAGGACGACGCGTTTCTGTGCCGAAATGCTACCTTCTTGATGCCCGCCTCTTCTCTTAGCACTTGGTGGGTCTTTTCAGATTGCGCCATTCGCAATCGAGCAAAAAAAAAAGAACATGTAGGGCGCAGGGCACACAAGTCGCAGCGTCCCCAGCCAGACCATGGCGCCGTTCCCGCGTGACGAGTCATGTGTAAGATTTCTTGACGACAAAGAGTAATCAGTCTGATGAATTTGATGAATCCGTCGCGCCTGAAGTCCGACAGCCACGAATCAGACTCCTTCGATTGACCGGCTTTCCCAAGCGGCGCCAGGAGCTGCGTTCATCGCCACGCAGGCGCGTGCCTGGCGCGTGCCCTGTGAACACGTTTGACCGACCGCGTGTACTTTAAAACCCATCAAGCCACTCTTGAATTTGACCGGAACACCACGTCGCGCTGACCCGGACAAATAGCGACCGGAGCGTCCGAAGCATTCGGGTACATATACCCCTCGCCCTCGTGGTCTGACCGCTTCTCAGTTACAGCCCGCCAGCTCTCTGACTTCAAGCCCAGCACTGGCTTCGCAAGGACTCCCCGAAGCCAGCAGCCTCTGGCATCCTGGCGGTGGCTGCGTTGGGCCGAAGGAGGGGCTGCGTATACACAGCTTGGGTGTGTGTTCTCGTGGAGGGCGCGTCTCAGGGTATTGACCGCTGCGGCGAGGCCGGCGCGTGTCCCGCCCCTCGTGCATCGGCGATTAGCGAGCGCGCTTGAGTTTAGCGGTGGTGAACTCCTTTATGCGCCGCCGTGACTTGCTCTCGTGAAGTCAACGAAACTGACCCACGACACGACGCACATTACGCGACCTCGCCAATTTCGAAGCACGGTTGGGCAAGCGAGGCCCTCAGTCTTGCGCATTTTGTTCTTTGGCCCGCTTGTTTGACAGAATTTGACGCCGCTGCGCACCTGCGTACATGCGATGGCTATAGTTCAACGCGGGCCGAATTTCAGGCCGATTTGTGAGCCCAAATCAGCCCCGGCATTTGCTCAGTACCGCCAGTGCATTGCGGTACGCCCTTGATCAAGGGCATCTATCGAATCCAGCAAGAAAACGATCAGGTGCATTCGATAGATCAATAATTGTTTCATTGTGAATCCAATGCGCTGCATTCATTTGTATCGATTCGCCATGAACATTAACGATTGACGAGTGTTCATCACCGTGGCGGGTAATCAACACCAATAATTGTATTTAGTACGAGGCAATAATAATACGATGAACAAATCGACACTATACTGTACTATACTATACTACACTATAACATAATGTATTATGAAAAATATTATATAATACAATATAAATATAAATATATAAATATATATATATATATGATGTGGTATGATATGGTATGATATGATGTGATGTGATGAGATGTGACATTACATTACATAATGCAATATAATATAATACTTCCGTCTGGAAGTAAATGTCCGGATTTGTTTGGGAGACCACATTGACATCACGCACCTGCTATTTTTTGCTCAAAATCCGGTTAGGGAACCATCTATAAGGTTATCGGTTGCCCCAAAATTTTTGTAGAAAACAGATAAGTACATTTAAATGTATTCAGCGCCCAAGTCCGTTGGTTCATAGTGCTGCCAAATTTAATACAATATAATTAGTTTTGGCAGTACTGAACCGACGGAATTGGGTGCTGAATTCGAAATTTCTGAAGGTCTCTCCCCCCACCCCTACAACGGGGCCCAAACGGGGTGGCCCTACAACTGACGGTCGCAGTGCAGAGAGCATATTTGTAGCCGCCGCTTTGGCTGCGGGGTTGAGACATATCCGCAAAGCAACAAACCAGGCTCAGCGCCACTCGATCGTATGCACATAGTGTCGCGGATCTCCAAAATTGGTGACATGAGAATCTGGCAGGTGGCAAGCCAAACTGTTCTGAGACGCAATGAAGGCGTTCAATTTCTGCAACGAAATTAGACATAATCACGCCCACCCATATCTTTTTACCCTCCTTGCTGCAGCTCGTGCGCACTGCAAATCGCAAAGGGTCCACTCGTCCAGAGATTCGCATTCTTCGGACTGTGAGGAGCCGACGCACATGTGCTCCTGTGCTTCCGTAGAGACAACTACGGTGGCCTCGGCCAGTCCCGTACAGGGTACCGGGGACCGGCTAGGGGGACGCTGCCTGCGCACAAACAGCGGAGCCAAGGCGAGAGACACCGTGGCCTTGCGACCGAGGCACCGGCGGACGCCCTCGGGAATCCAAGCAAGCAGGTGGGCAACAACGGCGCCTTCGCTGTCTGCGCCAACGGGCGCCAATGGCTGCGCCCGTGACTGCGTTGGGCTTGGGGATGGTTTTGGAGGGCAATGGCCCATTCCCCTGCTTCCTTCCCAGAGCTCTGAGTGCCGAGAGCTGTGCTGCTCGCCGCCGCGGCTATTTGACTGACGCAATTGCCCGTCCTTCGCCGCGCTGTGCGCGCTTGCATCGGAGGTGCCGCCTCATCCCCCGTGCGTTAGATGGTGCGTACAAGTGCGAGCCACGCCCAAGCAGCAACGCTCTGGCTCTCTGCTCAAACAAGCGCGCGTTGGCGACTGCAAAGAAGTCAAGGAGCAGCAAGTCCGAGGTGCGCGGTTTTCGTTCCTTGGCAGCCGCTGAGTGGCCATTCGGCATTCCCAGCACTTCGGACTCCACAGGCTCTCTTGCGCGCCTGGGCATCTCCGCTGCGCCAAACCCCGCACGTTGCCAGAGTTTGCAACGCAGGCAGGGTAGGTAGGGCGTTCTTTTGGTCTCTAGCGTCTTTGGCACATTTTGGCGTCCGCCGATGGCTGCTGAGATGCCTTGCGTTCTCCGACAGGGAGAAAGTGCTCCCAAGTGGTGGTGGCCACTCCAAGGGCGCTCATGTTCTAACTGTTCTGATGCGCATTCGTCGACGCCGCAGCTGGTGAGCCAGCAACCAACGGCGAATCTCCGCTCATGAGCATCGCCAGTATGGCCTGCACAAACGCCGTGTTCGCACTTGCGCTGTCGCGACGGCTTCGCTGACGACTTTGGGGTCCCGCTGCCTGCAGTTGTCCACAAGATGAAGGCCGTCCACGCCACACGTTGCTCCTTCTGGTCGCTGCCGTGGTTCGTCCATCCCAAAAGGCTTCCACATGCGAAAAGGGGGCTGGCCCATCTGCGCCTTTATGTGATTGTGCACCCGTGGCTTCTGTGAACGGCTCAAGATCAGGTTTCTGCGACATGGGCTTTGCGATCAAATGGGCAGGCCCTCCCCAAACGGCCCCATCAGCCGCAGAGACGACGCAAAACTCAATCAACACTACAAACAGCAAGGAGCGCCATATTGTGGAGCGGTGGGCAGCAACGCCAGAAGCAGCGAGATCAACAAGGCCATGCTCTCCCGTGCCGCCAACCCTCAGGATTACGCCCGCCCAGGAGTCACGCCCGCAGCCGCGCCCCTGCCAGAGCACTATGCCCCTTTGGTGTGGCCGGTTGCTTGTGGCGTCCTCAGAACTGTGTTTGCCGGGCACTGGGGTCTGCAGGCCAGTCAGGTGCGCGACGTTCTCGTGATGCAGACTGTCGGGCCAATCAGAATCGGTGAACTTTTTCGAATTGCACGTTTGATTTAGTCATCAGTGTGTATGTTATCAATATTTGTTCTTCCAAAATACTTTGTTGCCCATTGCAGTGCGTGGCATTTAGTTTGAATTCAGTTGCCCACATTCTGTCCCATGTTAGGACAATATTCTGAAATCCTCACGTGCCGCCAACTATATCACTGTCTTTCAGAGTGGTAGTATGGTCCATTCTTGTAGGATTGTAACCTTGGCAATCCGGCCGTGTACAACAGCAGCGCATGCAGCCATCCAGACCTGAGGCGTGCGCAAACACAGCTGGCCCGTCTGCGCCTTGATTGCGCATCCATGGCTTCTACAAACGGCTCAACTTCAGCTTTCGGCAAAATGGGCTTGCGAGCAAACAGGCAGGCCCACCCCAACGGGCCCCATCATCCGGAGAGACGATGCAAGGTTCAACCAGCACTACAAACTGCAGGGAGCATCACACTTTGGGGCCGTGGACAGCAGTGCCAGAAGCGACGAGGGTAGGGAGCCCATGCTACCCCGCACCACCAACTTTCAGGATCATGTCCGCCCAAAAGCCACCGCCCCCAGCCGCGCCCCTGCCAGCCAGCCATGCCCCTTTGGTGCGGGCGGATTGCATGCGACGTTTTCTGAGCTGTGTGCGAGCCAAGGCCTGGGGGGCACAGGATGCTGCGCACAAGCCAGGTGGGAGACTTTCTCATGGCGCTGGATGTTTGGCATTGCGCCCGAAATCTGCAATTTTCTTTTTATGAACTGCTGATTGCATCATCAGTTTGTGCGCGCAATCCACAAGGGTTCCCCCTGCGGTTTTTGTTACACAAGCGAATGTGCAATGTTTTAACATAGATTTATTGAATACATTCTGTGCCATGTCGGCGGAAAAAGGGGCACATTGAATATGCACCCAACTCTGCCACAATAATTGAGGGTCCTGTTTACTTTTTGGTACAAAGCCTAAGCCTCTTTATTGTTCTGACTAAGTCTGCAGCCATTACATTAGTACACGTTTAATTCCATCATCAAGGTGTGTAGCAACCCAGAGGTCTTGTTCCAATATGTTTTGTTGCACATGTTAATGAACGTTGTTGTTTTGTTTTTGATTGAAAATTCGGACGTGTTCTATCGCAATCCGTAAAACAAATACAGGCATCCTCTCATATGCATAAACTTCCGCTACCTCCTGTGAAGATCCTGATTTGGCTCTTTGTTGCAGGATTGCAACATTTGCGACCTGGCGGTGCAGAAATGCAGGGCATGCGGCCATCTAGGCCTGAGGGAATGCGAAAATGGGGCTGTCCCGTCTGTGACTTGGAAGACGCGCTCAACGCCACCATTGGTGAGCTGCAAGGCTTCTACCAACGCTACAAGGAGCGCCAAATCTGGAGCAGTGCACAGCAGCGCCATAAGAGGCGAGAGCGGCGATGCCAATGCTCTCCCGTGCCGCCAACCCTCAGGACCATGCCCGCCCAGGAGCCACTGCCCACAGCGGCGCCCCTGCCAGCTCATCATGCCCCTTTGGTGCGGCCGGTTTGCTTGTGGCGTCTTCAGAGCTGTGTGTGAGCCAGGCCCTGGGCGGCGCAGGATGCCACGCACAAGCCAGGTGGGGGATTTTGTCATGGTGCTGAGTGTTTGGCATTGCACCCAAAATCTGCAACTTTTATTTTGTTGAACTGTTGATTACATCATCAAGTTGTGCAAGCAGTCCACAAGTGCTTTCCCAGCGGGTTTGGTTGCACACGCGAATGTGCAATGTTTTGTTGCAGCTTCATTGAAGAATTTTGTGCCATGTCGGCAACAAAAGTAGGGCACTCCTAGCACACATCCATTTCCGATACATTGGTTGAGGGTCCCGGTTTTCTGGGGAGGGGCGTCGTGGCACATACTGCTTACTGTTAGACCAGTTCTGCAATCATTGTTGCATTACACGTTGAGTTCCTTCATCAACGTGTGCAGCAATCCGGACGTCTTGTTCCACTATTTTTTGCTGCACATGTTAACGAGCAATGTCATATTCTTTTTGAATCTACTTAGACATAGTCCATTTTAAACTGAACTCAAAATGTTCGCATCCTCTGGCATACACACAACTCCGCTACCTCCTGTGAAGTTCTTGATTTGGTTCTTTTTTGCAGGATTGCAACATTTGCGACCAGGCGGTGCAGAAATGCAGCGCACGCGGCCATCCAGGCCTGAGGGGATGCGGAAACGGGGCTGTCCCTTCTGTCCCTTGCAAGGCGCGCTCAAAGCCGCCACTGGGGTGCCACTAGGCTTCTACCAACTCTACAAGGAGCGCCAAACCTGGGGCAGTGCACAGCAGTGCCATAAGAGGCGAGGGCGGCGACGCCAATGCTCTCCCGTGCCGCCAACCCTCAGGGCCATGCCCGCCCAGGAGCCACTGCCCACAGCGGCGCCCCTGCCAACCCACCATGCCCCTTTGGTGTGGTCGGTTTGCTTGTGGCGTCTTCAGATCTGTGTGTGTGCCAGGCCCTGGGCGGCGCAGGATGCTACGTGCAAGCCAGGTGGGGCTTTTTGTCATGGTGCTGAGTGTTTGGCATTGCACCCCAAATTTGCAACTGTTCTTTTGTTGAGCTGTTGATTACATCATCAGTTTGTGCAAGCAGTCCACAAGTGCATTCCTAGCGGGTTTAGCTGCACACGCGAATGCGCAAAGTCTTTTATAGCTTTACTGAAAACTTTTCTGCCATGTCGGCAACAAAAGTAGGGCATTCCTAGCATGCATCCGTTCCTGGCACATTGGTTGAGGGTCCCGGTTTTCTGGGGAGGGGCGTCGTGGCGCAGACTGCTTACTGTTAGACCAGTTCTGCAGTCATTGGTGCATTACACGTTGAGTTCCTTCATCAAGATGTGCAGCAATCCAGACATCTTGTTCCATTATGTTTTGCTGCACATATTAATGTTCAATATCATATTTTTGTGAATCTACTCGGACGTAGTCCATTTTAGACTGAACCCAAAATGTTCGCATCCACTGGCATACATTTAACTCCGCTACCTCCTGTGAGGTTCTTGATTGGGTTCTTTTTTGCAGGATTGCAACATTTGCGACCCGGCGGTGCAGAAATGCAGCGCATGTGGCCATCCAGGCCCGAGGGGATGCGAAAACGGGGCTGCCCCGTCTGTGCCTTGGAAGGCGCGCTCAACGCCACTGTTGGGGTGCTGCAAGGCTTCAGCCAACGCTACAACGAGCGCCAAATTTGGGGCAGTGCACAGAAACGCCATGAGGCGAGGGCGGCGATGCCAATGCTCTCCCGTGCTGCCAACTCTCAGGGGCTTGCCCGCCCAGGGACCACTGCCCACAGCCGCGCCTTTGCGAGCCCGCCATGCCCCTTTGGTGCCGCCGGTTTGCTTGTGGCGTCTTCAGAGCTATGTGTGTGCCAAGCCCTGGGCGGCGCAGGATGCCACGCGCAAGCCAGGTGGGGAACTTTCTCATGGTGCAGACTGTCTGTGCCCCTGATCAGAACCGGTGACATTTCTTGCATTTCGCGTCTGATTCCATCTGCATTGTGCATATGTAATTCACACGTGTTCTATCAATGTGGTAAGGTAGGCATGTGAATTTGCAGTGTTTCAATTATTTTTGGTTGCTTGTATTTTGAGCTCATGCTCATGCTTCATTGAAATCCAATGGGCATCACAAAATAGAATCTGGAATCCATCAAATCCCGATTTGCTGGAGTTGGTTGTTGATGACAGTACATTGAAAGAAGTGCCTCGCTCTTTGGCAAGCGTGGACAAAAGGGAAAAGCGTTTTGACACATCTGTGGCAACTTTGTATGCCATAGAAAGTCTCTAAAACTTCATTGGCTGTGAATTACATCATCGCAGGAACGGCAGTGAATGAAAAATAATATTTCGTGTTTCGGAGCTGAGTGACGTGATGGACCAATGGGCTTGAGCATTTAGGGAAGAGTGACGCGGTCGGTGTGGCTGTTGCTGGACCTCCAGAAAGTGAACTCCACAGCGACATCGTTGGAGACAGCCCTCGAAGGCATTGGTCGCAGTGATGGCGTTTGCAATCATTGCAGTATTAATCAACTGTCAGTGTTCTCACTGCGGGTGTGGCTCACTGTGCTGCAGATTGTTGGTAATTCGACGCTGTGGTCAATCATCAGGAATCAAAGGAATCAATCATGATGTTCTACATGCAGGACTCCGGGATGATTGTCGGGCAACCTGTGGGTGTGTTGAAAGGGGAGGCGGATTCGCAGGGAGGCATCAGGCTGTATCACTCTGCCATAGCATGGAAGCCACTGATCACACCTCTTTGCCAGACTTCTGTTCTTGGGCCAGTTCAATGCAAGGGGAAGGCGCTTGAAGCGCAAACAGAACATTGTGCTTGCCCGTTGCGATGGCCACTGCCTTTGGCAAGGGGTGTGTGGCAAATGATTTTTAGGACAGCTCGTGATTTCATTTAGGAAATTTCACAATGTTTCCCAGTCGTCTTCTGATATTTCTATTTCTAAACTGATCTCAATCAAGAGATCGATGCTGTGTACCTGCGAATGGCAGCCCAGACACTTCGTGATTTGGCTTTGTTGAGCAAATGGCCCTGACGGCCCGCAACATTCTTTCCTTCTAGGCCGAAACGTGGGCTCAGCGGCAGCGCGTCCTCTATGGCTGGCTGACTGCTTTACTGCATCCCAATATCCTCTGGGATTTGTGAACGTAAGCTTAAATTCTGCTCACTTGTGTTTGTTTTGGGTGATTCGACTGCTAGCGTGGCGTTGGCGACTGCGCTTTGCATGCTACATGTTTGGGCCTAAGACACAGGACCGGGCGGGCAACATAATCATTGCGTTTACATTGTGGACACCTTTGCAATATCCGTCCAATAACAAGCTTTCGTGCAAAATGTCGGTAAGGGGGCCATAAAAAACAACAAAACGTGCATTTTGCGCACTAGCAAAATGCAAGAAAAATGCCATAACAACAGGGATGCACACAAACGCGCCATTTTTCGGGGCAGCACACGCGGGAGGAAACCACAATGTTGCACACAAAAAGAATTAGTTTGAAGCCGGTCGGGGACGCCTGCAACCAACCACACTCAATGCATGCGACCCACAGGCTGTGGGTCCAGCATAGCTTCGCACTAACAATTACAATTGGCGATGCACACTATGGAAATTACAAGCCGCTAGTTATAGAAATGGCCCCTCCCTTGTCTAGCACATTTCATCCCAACGCTCCAGCTCCGCCTGGAGACGCCGTTTGTACTGGGGGTGGATGCACCCCCTCCCAACCCCATTGGCCTCCAACCAAACATCGCAAATGACGTTGTCGGAGGACACCTCCCCCTGTATTTGCCGCCCTTCCACCCAGCGCCCATTCAGCTGGGCATCGTCCGCGGCGTCAAAAAGGAGGGTCCCCAAGTTGTAGGGGGGTCGGGGCTGGAACTCGCTCTCGTAGTACGCGACTGTGAATACTTTCTTCACCGCTGAATCACACCCCTCCGCGGCCCTGGCCCCCTTGACAAGGGCAATGTCGAAGCGCCGGCCCCATTCCTTGGCATCGGCGTCGGACATGGTGATGGCCACCTGGTGGCCGGCTGCTATGTCTCGCGCGGCGTCAAAGGGGACATACTCTCTGTCGTTTGGGAGAGCGGAGAGGTGTCCAAATAGCAGGGGGCGCTCCCCGGGCACCGGGCCAATGTCCCTGCGGACGACACCGCCAGTGGATGGTGAGGCAACCACGGGGAGGGGGGCAAGCAAGTGGAATCACCGCGGGCGGACGGGATGTTGCACACGGCGGCGCGCGTACCTTGCGACGGGTGGAGCGGGGGCGTTGGAGGCGCTGCTGGGCGCAGTGGAGGGGGTGGCCAGCGCGGCGGGTGACAAGCTGTCCAGCCGAAGTGCGGCCCCCTCGTCGATGGCGAACGTGGGTCTGCCACTCCCGCCGAGAGGGAATGTGCGCTCGTGGGAGGCAATGAAGCCCTCCCACCATCGCACGGCTCTGGCCATCCGGTGGAGCTTGCGCCGTTTGATGTCCTCCGCGGCGGCGGGGTCCCCACACACGTCAAGTTGGCGCCTCCACCTGCCAATCTTCCCGATGACCCTCTTCTTGACGTCCTCGAAGTCCTGAAGTGCTGCCCTTGGCTCCCAGCGGAGGTCGGCAAACCTCGGGGCGGGTTTCCCCGGGACGAACACCGGCCATCCCCGGCCGTCGGGCGTGCCCACCCACGGGCTGTCCTCCCTGTCGTGTTCGCGGGCGAACACGACGGGCTCCCCCCCCTCCAGGACGAACTTAAAGGAGTGGAAGCACCTGCCCAAAGGATCGCACACAGCAATGAAGCACTGTGGAGCCGGGGAGGCGTCATTGCGGCGAGCGCCGTCCGCCGGCGGACCAGGCGACAGGCGGCACACCGGCATATACCGTGGGGTGTACCCCTAAAACGCTGTCAGAAACGGCGCGGGTTTGCGCGCGTCGTGCGCGCGAACCTTAGTTGCCTGCCAGCAAACTTGGGAAGGCAGCGGACACAAACCACACCCTTGACTAGGAGAAGGGAGGGACCGTGTGGAGGACACGTCCAAGGGTAGGCGCACAGGTCCTCCCTAGCAGGCAAGTCGCTCATTGCCCACGAGTAGTGGCGAGGAGGACACGGCGAAAGGGTGAAGCCGCTGCTTGCAATCAAGGCTGTGGGTGGCAAGCCGGGAAGAAAGTGACGCCGCACGAGCTGGATCGGGGCTGTGGAAGGAAGCGAGGCGCACGTCGAGGCAGCAACTCCGCATTCGCGCGCGCGGCGCGCGCAGGCGCACGCCAGTCCCGCACACGACAAGAGCGGACAGCAGAGGTCGCCCGAGCCAGCCACTGCGAGCGCACCTTTTGTTGTCCCGTCCCGTTCCGAGGCCTCTGAAGGTGTGCATACGGACGCCCGCATCCCCGTCCTCGCCGTCCTCCTCCTCCTCCTCGACGCCCCGCCGGCGGTCGCGCTTGTACCTCAAGAGGCGCCGGAAGTCGGCAACGCGGTCCACCCGCGTGTTCACCTTCCGCGAGCTCCCCACACTCGCGTGCTCCCCCCACGCCCGGTGCGCCACGCCCATCAGGTCCTCCAAGCAGAGCGCCCCCTCGCGGTTGATGGCGGAGGCAACGAGACTGAACGTGGCGTCTATCTCCTGGTGCGTGTGGCCTACAGGCAAGAAGAAGACGCGCACCTCCCTGAACACCCCCTCCCCAACCAGCATGGCGCAGAACCCGAGGAGGTAATGGTTCTTATTGTCCTTCGCCGTGTTGTCCATCTGCAGGTGCAGCACGGGGGGCAGGCCGGGCCGGGGGGGCAGGAGACCCGGGGCGGCGGCGTCGCAGCGGGCCACGTCTCTGATCATCTTGCAGAGGCACGTAAGCGTGAGGTTGCTGGACGCCGCCCATTCCGGGAATGACCAGAAGCCCCACCATCCGTGGCCGTACGCGATCCCGCCCATCAGCTTGGTGGTCAGGGGCAGGCCCACCTCGTCCGCCTTGCTTTTGGCCATTTCGCGCGGGATCGCCGTTTTGGCCTGGTCCATGCCGTCGATATTCAGGTACAGGACCTCCTCGGGGTGGTCCAGGGCGTGCCGCCTCCTTTCTTCCATCGCCCTCCTCGCCGCGGCCACGTACGCCTCGTGCTTGTGGAGTATTCGCAGGGCGGCGTCCCTGGCCGGCCCCGTGGCGAGGTTGGTGGTCTCCCTCAGCCTCACGCACGTGTCGCACTTGGCGAAGGGCTGGTGCCGGTACGTGCGCACCTGGGGACGGCAACCACAGAAAAATCGGGCTCAGGGCTCGTCGTCAGCACACTGGCACAGACGCTCCCAGCCAAACGTGCCTGGAGTGTCTGGAAGACGAGGGGGAGGGCCTGGGGCCGCGGGCCGCCGCTTACCTGGAAGTGGCGTTGAAGCCACGTCCTGCGGAAGGTGGTGTAGGAGACGGGCTGCTGGGGGGGCTGGCGGGCGGCTGTCGCGCGGCGGTAGTACTCGTAGACGGACTGCAGGGTGGAGAACAGCCCCGCCGGCAGGAACTCCTTGGCCTTGACCTCCCCGGTGCGCCGGTCCCTGACCGTGCGGTCGGGGAAGGGCTGGGCGAGGCGGCCGACGAGGTCCCGCAGCCAGTCGGCGCAGTCGTACCTCCCCTTCCCGTGGCGGTGGGTCCTCCAGTTTCCGTGGTGGCGCACCTTCGGCACAACCCCGCTCCGACCCCGCCCCTGCGCGGTCTTCCGGTACACGGTGTCGGCGCAGACGCCGTGCCACAAGGCGAACGCCTTGATGCACACAACCTTGCCCCTAACCCTCCACTCGTACCGCTGGCGACGGGGCACGGCGGGGACGCCGTCTCCACCTGGCCCCACTGCGGAGGCGTCTCCCACCCGGCAGCGCGAGATGTCCGCCCGGAGGTCGGCGTCCGCCTCGTCGAACCGACGAATCGCCCGCACGACCTTCCTGGCCACCAGCTCGTCGGCCGTGAAGAGTTGGTGGCAATGGCGGTGGCAGCACTGCGTGGGGACGCCCGAGGCAAGGGCGTCGGTGACGGCCCTCTCCATTTTCTCGAGCCTTCTCCTCTTCGCCGGCTTGGGCGAGTCTTCGGCGAGGTCGCGCCTGCCCCCCTGGCCATCCCCGCAGGTCGACCTTCGCTTCCTGGGGGACGTCATCTCCTCGAAGCGGTCGTGCATCATCTCGACGGTCTCCTCTCGCACGCGGCTGGACGAGGCGCCGGACGCTGGCGTGGCGAGGTGCGAGAGGTACGAAGCCGGGATGTCGCGCGACGCGGAACTGCTGCCACTTCGCGGCGTGGCGCTGCTTGAAATGGACGAGGTCGCTAACTCCATCACGCACGCGGGTCCTGGACGATGGACAAAGAGCGCGGTGTCACTAATTGAACCCGGCGAGGTTGTCGGGGATCCGGTCAGTGGAGAAGGTGTGCCGCTCGCGAACTCGGGGGAAGCGCGGGCCCCCTGGGCAATCGTCAGCTGGAGAAGGGAACAGCGCCGCGCCGACGCCCTTAAAGGTTTGCGCGCGCCGCGCGCGCAAACACCGATCAGCAACACGCAGACTTTGATCATGAAGTGGACCGCTCGAAAACAGTTTGCACGAACCATTGTGCCTGCCCGACGACATTGTCGCATCAGGCGAAGGGTCTTCTGGAGCTGCGTTTGCGCGCGTCGCGCGCGCAAACTGCAAGGCCCCCGACCTTGCGGGTGGACCGCGACGCAGGTCCGTTCCGCGCCACTGCCGTCCGTTCACAACCATGTTCGGATTGGCGGCGGTCTGCGAGCGCTGTCGGCCGTGCGTTTTGCGCCGACGGCGTCCGTGCTCGACTGGCATGGGGAGGAGACTCTTGCGCGCGTGG